TAAGTTATGTTTATTGAACATCTTCTAGGCATTGTCTCAGTTAACCCTCACAAAACCACTTAGGTAAATACTTATGATTATTCTACATTTTTAAGAAATGCTGAAACTGAGATTTGGAGAGATGTTTAAGGTCATTTCCTTAGTAAAGGCTGAGCAAGAACATCAGCACAGTATTACAGACTGAATGTTTGTGTCCCTCTAAAATTCAAATGTTGAAACCTCACCCCTAATGTGATGGTGTTTGGAGGTTGAGCCTTTGGGAGGTGACAGTGGAGCCCTCATGAATGGGATTAGTGTCCTCATGAAAGAGACCCCAGCTTTCTCGCCTCTTCCACCATGTAGGACACAGCAAGAAAATCAGCCACCTGTGAACCCGGAAGTGAGCTCTCTCCAGACACTGAATTGATGGTGCCTTAATCCTGGACTTCCCAGCCTCCAGAGCTGTGACAAATAAGTTTTTATTATTTATACACCACCCAGTCTGTTGTATTTTGCCTCCAGTGACTGAGCTCTTAATCATGGTATCATAAAGACTCCCACATACAGTAGTTATTCTCAGCATATGTTTTAATGTTTCTTGAATGAAAATCAACCTATTAAAATGTTGATGGTGAAGATGAAGGCACTGGTTAAGTGGAGCCCTAAACTTGACAAGGGGAATCACTGAAATGTGAGCTTCAGAGTTTTAAAAGCTATCTGTGACTTCTGACTAGACAGCTTCATTTCTCACCAGTATCAGTTATTTTACCAAACCAAGTTTTCTCAAGTGAATATCCTCCTAGCAAAATACACTATCAAAAATATACTTGATAAGAGAACTCATATACACACATACTCACACACACACACACACACATACACTCACATACTTCCTATCTAACTTTAATTCCACACTATCATTAGGTCTTAGTCATCATTTCCTTATTCCCAAGGTTATGGTCAACTATAGTCAAAAAGAAAGCACCACTTCTTTTTTAGAGTCAGCATGCTCTTGCCTTCTGTTGATTATCCCCAAGGATTCAGTGGTCTGAAATAGTCATCAGATAATTTAGTTGTTGTAGGGAATGTGTAAGGTAGTTACTCAGTTCATTCAGAGTAAACACCTAAGTCCTTACACCGGCCCCAAAGTCTCCCATGATCTGCCCCTGCTTCCTTACCACTCTGACCTCATGGTCTAATTTTATAGGGCTTTGTGCAAGATCTGAGTTCCCTGACCAGGGATCAAACCTGTGCCCCCAGCAGTGGAAGCACAGAGTCCTAACCACTGGACCACCAGGGAAGTCCCCATATCCCTTTTGCAATATATGTATCTTTCCTTAGGTAAGCATCTATAATCAGTTCCACAGTGCTTACATTGAAATACGTAAAAGTTCATAATTAGGTAATGAAAAGGAAGAAACAAGACAACTAAAGCTTAGATTTCAAGGCAGGCCCAGCACTGGATACACGTAGGCGCTCAGTGGGAGTTTGCTGCTGACAAAATAGGCAGCGGTGACTGTTGCTAGGCTGACTCAGATGGGAGCATTTCTCCATCTTCTATCCTGGTGGAGTTATTCATAACAGGTCACCTGGTAGATAAGAGGCTTCAAAATTAGATGTTCCCAGATGTTTTTCAACCAGAGACGTTTGTGTCCGAGGCTAATCTACTCTCAGAAGTTTTCCTGGAGATTTGCCTCTTTAAACAGTTCACTGAGCATTGACCTTACTGTCTGTGGCTTTGGCTGGAGCAAAAAGAACATGCCTAATCTTATGCTCTGTAAGTTGTATCATCTTACCAGTACTCAATATATTCTGGAATCATCTCTTAGAACAACATGGTTGTTTTTCAGCAAATATTAATAGCAGCTGTGTCTGCATCTCTTCTGAGTTTAAGGCTTTAGAGAAGCATAAAGCCATCATGATTATGAAGAATCATTTGGTGAGCCAGCAAAAAAGTATACACTGAGTATAGAAATGCTTCTTGAGTCCATGACACAGCCTGTTTGGGGCCAGGGTCAGAGGCATGATGTATCCAGTGAAAAAAGGGTGACTGTATTTCCACCAAGAAATAACTACTGTGTCCTGATATCACAATGCTTGTTCAAAGTGGCCTTAGCTATCAAGAGTCGCCAAGTTTCTGGATGAGAAGAAAATTCCCGGGGGTCACTAAGGACATCTGTATCTTTTCTCCCCACCAGGACTCATGGCTTTAAAATGGGGGTGGAGAGTGGGAATCTAACCCAGTAATAAAAACAGCCAAGCGGCCGCTTTGAACCACATGATCCAGAGAGGATTAGGCCTCTAGCTTCAGTTCTACCATGTGACCTTGGACTAGTAATGTGACCTCTCTAGCTTTCAATTTCTTACTTGTAAGTGTGAACGAGGGGCTTCCCTGGCGGCTCACTGGTAAAGAATCCACCAGCTAATGCAGGAGATGCAGGTTTGATCCCTGGTCAGGAAGATGCTCTAGAGAAGGAAAATGCAACTCACTCCAGTATTCTTGCCTGGAGAATCCCATGGACAGACGAGCCTGGTGGGCTATAGTCCATGGGGTCACGAAAGATTCAGACAAAACCTAGCAACTAAACAACCAAGTGTGAGTGATGGGTTTCATGGGTGTTCCACAAACTCTTGAAAATAAAATGAAGTGAAAGATGCAAAACTTCTTTATTGAATATAAAGTCCTGCACCAGTAATAAGGGTTCTTTTTAATCTTTTCTAATCATACAGTTAATATGTATTATTTAAAAATCCAAAGATCAAAAGTGCATGAAGTTTAAAAGAATCCTCTGACCCATTACTATTCCTCAGAATTGACTAATTTTGACAATTTGGTGTTTATCTTTTTAAAAAAAATATTTATTTTTGGTTGTGCTGGGTCTTCGTTGCTGTGTTGACTTTTCTCTAGTTGTGGTGAGTGGGGACTATTCTCTAATTGTGTTGTGTGGGCTTCTCATTGTGGTGACTTTTCCTGGTGTGGAGCTTGGGCTCTAGGGTGTGCTGGCTTTAGTAGTTATGGCTCCCAGGTTCTAGAGCACAGGCTCAATAGCCGTAGTGCATAGGATTCGTTGTTCTGCAGCACATGGAATCTTCTTGGATCAGGGATCAAGCCCATGTGCCCTGCATTGGCAGTCAGAGTCTCTGCCACCAAGCCACCAAGGAAGCCCTGTGCTTATCTCTGTTTACTGTATGAATGTGTGCATGAGTGTGTATATTCTTTTCTAACAAAAAAGAAATCATTTCCTACTCCTCAGTAGAATACTATGCAGCAATTTTTCAGGAGATAAATTGCTATGCATATATACACATAGAACAATGATATTTTATGTGAAAAAGCTACAGAATCCCATTTATAGTAAGAGATAATGCTCATGTACACACAAAATGCGCAGCTCTTTCTGAGAAGAACATATGGCAAAAGAATGAGGTAATTTCACTTTTTCTTTCACACAGTTCTCTATGATAATCATTTTTATCTTAAACGTATATACTTTCACAATAATATTAAAGACCATGCAAGAGAAAGTGGAACATAAGTCAATCAAATGGAGAGCATACGATACAATTGAATATAATATTATACATGAGTATAAATGATAGGCCAGGAAAAATATTGAAGAGAAGAATATACTGAAGAAATTTTAAAATGAAGCAAAAATGAAAGTAGACACATGATTTTCAAAATCATCCAGTAGGGAATAGAAAAAAAATGGATCGGGCAGTTTCTGTTGCCAACTTTCTTGCAATATATAACGCACATCAGAATATCCCGTTCTGCTGACCAGTGCTAAATAATCGCCCCAATGCTACAAGAGCCAAATGGAAGCAGAAGCAAGGCTCTGCCTAAAGAGGAAGAAGGGCTAAACATGAGCCATTCTTAATTACTTTGCTTTTTAAAAGCCAGGATTTTAAAGACCCAAACAATGTGTCGTCTGCACAAAAGTGAATTTGAAATTAACATCAGATACCTTAAAGAAAGGTATGATGTTCAATTGTTACTTTGCTGTTTTCACTACTAAATTGTTTTATTTGAAAGCAGCATTATAGCAAATAGGCTAGGGATAAAAATATTCTGATTTAGTTCCAGGGTCTCTTGATGAAAGTGAAAGAGGGGAGTGAAAAAGTTGGTTTAAAGTTCAACATTCAGAAAACTTAGATCATGGCATCCAGTCCCATCACTTCATGGCAAATATATGGAGCAACAGTGGAAACAGTGGCTGACTTTATTTTTCTGGGCTCCAAAATCATTTGCAGATGGTGAGTGCAGCCATGAAAGTAAAAGACGCTTGCTCCTTGGAAGAAAAGCTGTGACCAACATAGGCAACATACTAAAAAGCAGAGACATTACTTTGCCGACAGAGGTCCATCTAGTCAAGGCTATGGTTTTTCCAGTAGTCATGTATGGATGTGAGAGTTGGACTATAAAGAAAGCTGAGCACCAAAGAATTGATGCTTTTGAACTGTGGTGTTGGAGAAGACTCTGGAGAGTCCCTTGGACTGCAAGGAGATCCAACCAGTTCATCCTAAAGATCAGTCCTGGGTGTTCATTGGAAGGACTGATGCTGAAGCTGAAACTCCAATACTTTGGCCACCTGATGCGAAGAGCTGACTCATTTGAAAAGACCCTGATGTTGGGAAAGATTGAGGGCAAAAGGAGAAGGGGACGACAAAGGATGAGATGGTTGGATCGCATCACCGACTCAATGGACATGAGTTTGGGTAAACTCCAGGAGTTGGTGATGGACAGGGAGGCCTGGCATGCTGCGGTTCACGGGGTCCCAAAGAGTCGGATACTACTGAGCAACTGATATGAACTGAACTGTCACACTAAGTGAACCATTTAACCTTGCTTACTTTTTAAATAAAATAATAGATAAAGTTCTAAATTTCTATTTTATTTAATATTCTATGTTTCCATAACTTGGAAGATCAAACAGAGGAGTCATAAACAATACCCACATTTATTTTTTTAAAGCAATCAATAATTCAGAAGAGCTTTCTTTTCCCATTCATTAACAAGGTCATAAGTCTGCAGTGCTGTTCATATCAGATGAATCTACAAAACCAAGAACAGGAACCATTGCATCTTCTTCAGAAGACGTGCTACATTGATTCTTCTGTTTTTTGTTCACATACTTGTGCAAAGTGCTGTAGTACTGCTCCTTTGGATTGAAAGTATATAGTGATGAAATCTGCTGCCAGGCTTTAATGCTCGGAGTGTTGTATTCCTGTGGCTGTGAGCACTCAAAGAAACATTTGACATTTTCTTTTGCCAGTTGCGTTGCATGTTCTGTGGCTTGACTTTTAAGAATCTGCTGCTCCTGTTGCAAGTAGATTTTCCAAAATTTCAGATGCAGGTAACTAACTGGAGACAGGCACCGACTGATTGATGTAAAAATCAGGAGGAGGATGATAACAACTGCTATCAGGACCCAGCCTAACACCTTAGGTAAACACAACAAAACGGCGATTTAGTCACTTTCTTAAAAAGAAATTTTTAAATCAACAGGTAAAGTTTGAACTACTCAGAGTTAAGATGATGAACAAGCAACAGTTAGGTCTTATTCCCTTAAGAGAAAGACGTGGCAGTAACCCCTCCCCCCACCCCTCAGTAGAACTGCTTGCTTGACAAGTTAGCCTTTTTCCCAGTCATATGTCAAGGATCCACAGAGGAGCTTATATGTGGAATCCCTGGAACTCAAAATGTGGAATTTCAGAAAATCCAGTGAAACAAGTATTCATTTCTAAGAACTCTGAGCTTTACAAGCCCAGAAGCAGTGTGGGGTGATGGCTTTAAAGTCAGCCAGACCTGGACTCAATGTACCCGCTGTAAAGACAAAAGAGAATAATAAGAGAGATAAAGGACCCAGCAAGGTGTCGGGTGTGGGACACAGAGCAGATGCCTGACACAACAGAGTGCCCGAGTGAGTGCCTTTCTCTTTTCATTAGTTGTACTCATTTTTTATAAAAACCTATAATGGACTTCCTAGGTGGCTCAGATGGTAAAGCGTCTGCCTGCAATGTGGGAGACACGGGTTCGATCCCTGGGTCGGGAAGATCCCTTGGAGAAGGAAATGGCTACCCACTCCAGTACTCTTGCCTGGCAAATTCCATGGATGGAGGGGCCTGGTAGCCTACAGTCCATTGGGTCGCAAAGAGTCGGAAATGACAGAGCTATTTCTTCACTTTAACTTTCATAAGGGAAGAGACTCTGAAGACACACACAGATGTGAGACTGAAACTAACATAATATTGTAAGTGAACTACACCCCAATTAAAGTGGGAAAAAGAAAGAAATAGCACCGAGATGAAAGAAAGAGAGAGAGGGGAAGAGACGGAAGGAGGGAGGGAGGGGGTAGGGAGAGAGAGAGAGAGAAAGAAAGAAAGATAGATGATGTGCTGTGGTAAGTCATTTCAGTGGAGTCTGACTCTTTGCGACCCTATGGACTGTAACCCGCCAGGTTCCTCTGTCCATGGGATTCTCCAGGTAAGACGGTAAAAGAGGGTTGCCATTTCCTTCTCCAGGGATGGAACCCTCATCTCTTAGGTCTCCTGCATTGGCACTTTCCCACTAGCGCCACCTGGGAAGCCCTGGGAAGATAGATGATAGATTTGCCCATTGGCTCATTTGAAGCCAACAGCCATTCTAGTTAGCTTGCCTTTGGCGTCAGGAGCAAGGGCGCGCATTTCCACCTCCCCGGGCGCCCCGCAGAAGCCAGTCCCTCTCCGACCCCCCGCCCCGAATCCTGCGCGGGCGCCCGACCTGCGAGTGGGCCGTGAGCTCCTTCTGCAGCTCCTTCTGCAGCTCCTTCACGTCGGGCGCCTGGGCCTGCTGGCAGGGCACCAGCGGCAGCTGGGCGGAGCAGCGCGGGTCGCGGCCCTGGCACAGGTGCCGCGCCAGGACCTCGCTCCCGCTGGCGGCGCACTCGTAGAAGGCGCCCCCGAGCAGCGCCACGGCCACCCAGGTGAGCGGCGCCACCGCGGCCGTGGCGCTGATCTGCGCAAAGACCAGGGCCCCGCGCAGCCCCGCGCCGCGGCCCCGCGCGCAGCAGCCGGTCAGCAGGCGCCAGGTGCGCGCGCTCAGCACGTAGCCCAGCAGGAAGAGCGCCAGCGCCGGCACCAGCAGGAAGACCAGGCCGTAGGGCAGGTTCCAGGCGGCGCTGCACGGGCACCGGAACACCGCGGTGGAGAAGATGCGCTCGCCGCCCGCCGTCAGCAGGCTCACCAGGCAGTAGCCCAGAGCGTTGCGGTGTTTGAGGTGCAGGTTCAACACCTCCCGAAACTTCTCCATGGCTCTCCTACCCCAGGGCGCCGTGGACCAGGCCCGGCCGCTTCTCCCTCTTCGCCGCCCAGCTCCTCAAATGATTTGGGGGGATCTGGGGTTTCCCCGTGCCCCGCCAAGTAGCACCTTCCAAAAAAGGGAAGAGGGTTTCTCAGGATTTCCTGAGCTTTCACTTTCTTATTTCAACCCAACTAATTGTGGTAGATCCAAGCACAGACGCCGTCGACCTCCCCAGTGCCCACCCCTTTCCAGAAGCAGGCACATTGGTGACCTTTATCCCTCAATTGAGGAACTCTGACTGAGGGAAGATAGGGCCTGTTCCACTGTAGCTTTTGTTTACTCCAAACTGACAAGGATCCAGGGACTTTCCTTTCCCTTAACGATCCCTTAATGATCGGGAGGACCCTGCGGTCCCCCGATGGAAAGCAAAATTTTTACTTGAGTAAACTGGGGAAAACACCAGCTTTTCCTCTATTGCAGCCACCCTGGCTCCTGAACCAACTCCCAATCAGACCAAGCAATTACCAGCAACAACAACAAACCCCCTGCAAGCCTCTATCATTTACAGAAAACATTATTCAAAGGCAAATTTCCAGTTTCTCTTACATAAACTGAATCGCAACAAAGCCCCGCTGAAATTCCAGTATATCCATGATATTCTGTCCCCTTCTTGTCCCCCTTCTGAACAGAACTGCCACTTTTCTCTCCTCTACCTGACCTCCTGCAGGACATTAGCCTGAATATACTGGATTGACTTCTGCCTCTTTTTCTCCCCACTCAGGTATGTCCTATGTACATAGAAGTGTATCAAATCCTTCCTCAGGAGCCACCAAATTGATCAGCAGAGGAGAGGGTACTGGCTGTTCAAAAAACACTGCTACTACTGCTAAGTCACTTCAGTCGTGTCCGACTCTGTGCGACCCCATCCCTGGGATTCTCCAGGCAAGAACCCTGGAGTGGGTTGCCATTTCCTTCTCTAATGCATAAAAGTGAAAGTGAAGTCTCTCAGTCATGGCCCACTCTTCACGACCCCATGGACTGCAGCCCACCAGGCTCCTCTGTCCATGGGATTTTCCAGGCAAGAGTACTGAAGTGGGGTGCAAAACACTAGTTGAACCAAAAACACTTCAAAGGGCAACTACCTCGATCTAACATGTTTCCTCCACTTTCAATTTTCTCAGAGCAGCATTCCTCTGACAAGCTAAAAGGACTTCTGTGAAACAGCCTTACTCTATGCGGCTCTAGAGTGAGGTGAGGCATACTTGAAAGAACATGGGTTTTGAAGCTAGGTGCATTTTGTGTGTGTGTGTGTGTGTGTGTTTAATATGTTATCTTCTCTAAGATTCACCATACTCATTTGTAAAAGCAGAATATAGTGCTGACAGTGTGAGATTGTTGAGACAAGTGAGTAGCATCCATAGAGTGCTTTGATACACAGGTTATGCCTATTAATGCCTGTTCAGTGTAAGAGATTACCTTTTGCATTGCAACTTTAGGAAGAGGCAACAAATAGCTGTGTAGTATTTAAGAATCCAAATAATGCTCCATTTTAGACCAAGGATTGTATTCAGTGACTACCTTCAGAAAATCGGTGTGCCCTTAGTTGTCCATTTCACCTCAAGGAGTGTGCATGGATGTAGAGTCTGGGTGGGCAGGTCAGAGTGAACTGGCTGCTGCTCAAGCCCATCCACTAGGTTTGCCTTATTTTTTTCTGGGAAGAATAAGTAGCCTACAGAGCCGAGTGAATTGTTGCAGAGGAGGCAGGAAACACCCTATTCTTAGTCCAACTTGCCTTTTTAGCTATCTCCCACCACCAGTGCCTGGCACAAAACCACCATTCCCCAGCATTGTGATGAAAAGCTATTCCCCCTGTATGAGTGTTAAGAAGCTGTCCCCAGATGTCCTTTGTGTCATGCCGGGCAGATGGGGCCTCTTCTCTGAGGTTAGACCAGGTACTACCAGGTTCCATGTAAACTTGCACCTAAGTTGCCTGTTTGTGGCAAATCACTTCTGCTATGACTAGCATCTCTGTAATCCCACATCTGCAGAAAAGCTTCCTTCCCTTATCCTTTGGGTTACTCAACACTCCTCTTACTGGCGGAGTCTTCACCACCACCACACTCCTCTGAGATGCTGTCTCCCCTTCCACAATTTTCACATACCGTCATGAACAAATACCACTCTGTCAACACTTTTGTGTAGATGGCTTTATCCATATCCCTCTTAATAGTAACTGAACTAAAACATACCCTCCCATTCTCTTGAATGAGATATATTTATTTCCCCACCTTTCTCAAAACAAGAGGGAGGGCTGGCATTCTCCCATTACTACATCCAAACCTGGGTTTTTCCACCATGTCTAATATTCTTAATAGAAGTCTTATTCTCCATCAAGACTCAATCTATTTAGCATGACCTCTTCCATCACCTCAGTCCTGCTGTCTGTTTTCATTCCCTTCATTTACTAAGACTTTTGCATCTGGAGACAGCCTTCCTCTTCTTACCAGTTCCTGTCAAAGATTTGGTTTCAAATATTTCAAAAACAGTTACAGAAACTTTTATCAGTTTATCTTGTCAGTTCCCTATTTCAAGTCGAGTAATTCATTAACCAATGTATGAATTAGTTCATTTGCTGATGCAATCACTCATTTAAATATTTAAAAAGCACCCAGTATATGCCAGTACCTGTAAAAGTAGCTGTATTATTGAACACAACAAGGAGCAAGACGAACAGATACCCTGCTTTCGCTGAGCTTGTGTTCTAGTGGAGAGGATGTAGGTAATTAGGGGGAAAGTCCTCAAGTGATGCAGGTAATTAAAATGGAATCATGTGCTGCAGAGTGTCCTGAGAAAGCCTCTATGGGGAGAGGACATTTAAGCAGAAATGGGAATGCCAGAGGCTCTGTATGTAAAGGAGCTTAGTATTCTGTGGTTAGAAAGACAGTCAGAGTGATGAGGGCACAGAGGCTGAGAAGGAAGGCGGCACATCACCAGGGCAGAGCTGCAAGTGGAAGGTCATTTAGAGGCTTTGGGGACCAGAGTATGCAGTTTACAATCCTGCCCTGAAACTTACAGACTGACTGCATGTTCACCTATTATCCTGTCAGATTGTGTCTGTAGACACCACCCCCTGGAGTTGCCACCCTTGTGCTCCCTCATTCACAGATCTCCCAGGTAAGATGATCATTCTGTACTTATTACAAGTTTCCATAACTGTTAGCTCAGTTGGGAAAGAATCTGCCTGCCATGTAGGAGACCCGGGTTCGATTCCTAGGTCAGGAAGATCTGCTGGAGAAAGGATGGGCTACCCACTCCAGTATTCTTGGGCTTCCCTTGTGGCTCAGCTGGTAAAGAATCTGCCTACAGTGCAGGAGACCTGGGTTCGATCCCCGGGTTGGGAAGATCCCCTGGAGAAGGGAAAGGCTACCCACTCCAGTATTCTGGCCTAGAGAATTCCATGGACTGTATAGTCCATAGGGTTGCAAACAGTCAGACATGACTGAGCGACTTGCACTTTCATAACTATTAGAGTCCAGCTATTGCCTGCCAGTCTGAATTTCCTCCCAGCCCCTGCATTTGAGTCTAGTACACAGACATGCACCCCACCACCTCTGCAACAGTGGGTATTTCTAGTTCTGGGTCTACTGAAGATTGTCCAGCCCTTTATACCCAGCTCTATTCTGAGAGGACATTGCTTCGAAGTTCAGCCCTTAGTGCAAGTAGAGTAAATGGTAATTCAAGAAGATGCAAGAATTTTCTCTAAGACTACACTGAATAATATCTGAAAGACCTTTGTTGTTGTTGTGTGTACTCAGTTGTGTCCAACTCTTTGTGACCCTGTAGACTGTAGCCTGACAGGCTCCTCTGTCCATGGGATTTCTCAGGCAAGAATATTGGAGTGGGTTGCCATTTCCTCCTCCAGGGGATCTTCCCAGTCCAGGGATCAAACCCACATCTCCTGAGACTCCTTCATTGGCAGGTGGATTCTTTACCACTGAGCCACTTGGGAAGCCATGAAAGACCTTTGTAGTTTTGAAAATCTATAATTTAGCACCAATTTATTTAACTTTTAAGAAAATGAGTGAGAGATTCTCATGTTAAACACAGTGAAAAACCAGTGGTTATGAGTTTTGTTCTGTTTTTTAACTAGTACTTTGTGTCTCAGCACTATCATTACCAGTGTCAGAAATGGATTTCAGAGACCACAAAACATTTCTCAGAAGGGAAAGCAAAAGAAACTCTTGAAAGGAAATGCACATTCACACTGTGCATCTGAAAGTTCTTTGCAGTTATCCTCAAGTGAGCTGGATCTCAAACATTATTCTCTGCAGCGCTCACGAGTACTTATACTGATTGTATGCTCCTGCTTGGAATACAACTGCTAGATTCCAGCAAAGTGTCAGTCCTGGCCACAAGACCCACAAGAGTAAGATCAAATTAAGGTCTGCAATGTGCAAGATACAACTTTAGATGCCAAAATGACAAGTAGGGGCTTCCCTGGTGGCTCAGTGGTAAAGAATCCGCCTGCCAATGCAGAAGACATGGGTTCGATCCCTGTTCCAGGAAGATCCCACTTTCCACAGAGCGGCTAAGCCCGTGTACCACAACTGCTGAGCCTGCACCCTAGAGCCTGGGAACCACAGCTACTGAAGCCTGCACACCCTAGAGCCTGTGCTCAGCAACAAGAGAAACCACTGCAGAGAGAACCACAACTAGAGAAAAGTCCACACAGCAAAAAAGACCCCACACAGCCAAAAATAAATGAACTTATTTTTAAAAACCAAAATAACAAGTCAATTTAGAAAGTCTGACATTCTTAGAGTATACATTTCTGCATGTGGATATATTTTTATGTTAAAAAATATATTTGAAAATTTGGGATGTGTTATTATATGATTTTTGAATGTCTATTACAGTTCTTCCTCTGGAAGTTATGAAGCAGAAAGAAGGAAAGATCAGACCTCTTCTTTAGTACAGGACTGTCATTTGTTAAGTAGCAATCCCATGTC